TTTTTTATGAATTTGGGTGCTCCTGCATTGGGTGCATATATGTTTATCAGGGTTATATCCTCTTGTTGTATTGATCCCTTTAGTATTATGAAGTGGCCTTCCTTATCTCTTGTTATGGCCTTCACTTTGAGGTCTATTTTGTCGGATATAAGTATTGCTACCCCAGCTTTCTTTTCCTTTCCATTTGCGTGAAAGATATTTTTCCATCCCTTCACTTTCAGTCTGTGTGAGTCCCTTTTAATGAGGTGGGTCTCTTGTAGACAGCAAATGTATGGGTCATGTTTTTTTATCCATTCAGCCACTCGATGTCTTTTGATTGGACCATTTAGTCCATTTACGTTTAAAGTTATTATTGAAAGGTACTTGTTTGTAGCCATTTCTATTTTTTTGTGGCTGTTTTCTTTCTGGGCTTTTTATTTCTTCTTTTTACACCAGTCCCTTTAGCATTTCTTGCATTGCTGGCTTGGTGGTGATGAACTCCCTTAGCCTTTTTTTGTCTGTGAAGCTTCTTATTTCCCCTTCAATTTTGAATGATAGCCTTGCTGGATAGAGTATTCTTGGATTCAGTCCTTTGCTTTGCATCACTTTGTAGATTTCCGTCCATTCTTTTCTGGCCTGATGTGTTTCTGTTGAGAAATCATTTGATAATCTAATGGGAGATCCCTTGTATGTAACTTTCCGTCTCTCTCTTGCAGCCTTTAAGATTCTCTCTTTGTCCTGAACATTTGCCATGGTAATTATGATGTGTCTTGGTGTGGGTCTTTTCGGGTTCATCTTGCATGGGACTCTCTGTGCTTGTGTGACTTTTTTCTTCCCCATCGCAGGGAAGTTTTCTGACATTATTTCTTCAAATTGGTTTTCTAATCCTTGTTCCTCTTGCTGTTGTTCTGGCACCCCAATTATTTGTATGTTGCTTCATTTCATGTTGTCCCATAGCTCCCTTAGGCTATCCTCCTGTCTTTTAATTTTTTTTCTCCAATTGTAGTTCAGCTTGGGTGTGTTTTGCTTCCCTGTCTTCTAATTCGCTAATTTGGTCCTCCGCTTCTCCTAGTCTACTGTTGAAACTTACCATGGTGTTTTTTATTGCAGCTATATCACTCTTCATTTCTTCTTTTTATATATATATATTTTATTGTTGTTTTACAGAGAGGAAGGGAGAAAGAGAAGGATAGAGAGGTAGAAACATCGATGAGAGAGAAACAACGATTCAGCTGCCTCCTGCACACTCCCCACTGGGGATGTGCCCGAAACCAAGGTACATGCCCTTGACGGGAATCAAACCTAGGACCCTTCAGTCCACAGGCTGACGCTCTATCCACTGAGCCAAACCAGTCAGGGCTTCATTTCTTCTTGATTCTTACATAAGTTATTGATGTTTTCATCCATTTCTTGTTGACTCTTACATAAGTTGTGTATTTTTTCCTCCAACCGGTTTATGCACTCTAGGACCCTTATTCTGAATTCTTTTTCTGACATATTGCATGCCTCTGTTTCACTTAGCCACTTTTCTGGCAATTCAGCCAATTCTTTCCTTTGGGGGTTTCTGTGTCTACCCATTTTTGGTCTCACCGACTGATCTAGATGTCGAGTCGTGCAGGGGCTGCTCCTTGGGTGGCAGTGGTTCCTCGGGCTGCAGTTGCTCCTCAAGTGATCGCAGTAGTGGCTGCTCCTCAGTTGGCAGCGGCTCCTCTGGTGGGTGCTGTTCGTATCAGTGGTATCTCCTCTGGCTGGTAGGTGAGGCTGCTCACACAGCGGCTGTTCCTTGGACAGGGGTGTGCTGATCACGAGGCTGCTGCTCTTCAGGTGGGAGCAGGCTGAGCGCGGCTGCTGCTTTTTGGACAGGAGCGGGCTGTTCACATGGTTTCTGCTTCTCGGATGAGAACGGACTGCTCACGTGGCTGCTGCTCCTTGGATGGAGCTGGTTGCAAGCTACTGCTGTTCCTCAGATGGGGCGGGCTGCTCATGAGGCTGCCGCTCTTTGGACAGGGGCAGGTTGCTTACAGGGTTACTGCTCCTCGTACAGGTGCGGGCTGCTTGAGCAGCTGCTGCTCCTCAGATGGGGGTGGGATGCTCACCCAGCTGCTGCTTTTCGGACAGGTGCAGACTGCATGTGGCTGCTGCTCCTTGGACCAGTGTGGGCTGCGCAGGGCTGCCACTCCTCAGATGTGGTCGGTCTGTCTGTTCGTGTGGCTCCTACTCATTGGACAGGTGCGAGCTGCTTGGGAGGCTGCTGCTCCTTGGGCCGGAGTGAGCTGCACGTGCGGCTGCTGCTCCTAGTATGGGGGCTGTCTGCTCGCATGGCTGCTGCTCCTCGGATGGGGGATTGGCTGCTTGCGTGGCTGCTTCTCTTTGGGCGGGAGCAAGCTGCACGTGTGTCTGCTGCTCCTCGGATGGGGGCAGGCTGCTCACCCAGCTGCTGCTCGTCTGACAGGTGCAGGCTGCGTGTGTCTGCTGCTCCTTGGACCAGTGTGGACTGCACAGGGCTGCCGCTCCTCAGATGTGGGTGGTCTCTTTGTATGGCTGCTGCTCCTCGGACTTGGGTAGGCTGCTCAGGCGGCTACTGCTCCTTGAATGGGAGTGGGCTGCTCGTGGTGATGCTGTTCCTCGTATGGGTATGGGCTGCACACACCGCTGCTGTTCCTCGTATGTGTATGGGCTGCACACACCACTGCTGCTCCTCATATGGGGGACGGGCTGCTTTCATGGCTGCTGCTCCTTGGATGGGGGCAGGTTTCTTGCACACCTACTGCTCCTCAGACAGGAGGAGGGTGTGGGCTGCGCAGCTGCTGCTCCTCGGATGGGGGCAGGCTGTGTGGGGCTGCCGCTCCTCAATCGTGGGCAGGTTGCTCGTGTGGCTGCTGCTCCTCAGACGGGGCAGGCTGCTCACGTGTCTGTGGCTTGTGTGGTTGCAGTGCCCCGGGCTAAGGCGTTGGGCCGGTCAGAGGGGAGCATGCTTCAGAACTCACAGGAGCCTGCACCCATCGTGGCTGGAGACTCGTTGACCATGGGACAACAGCCGAGGTAGTAGGTCCCTGGCAGGGTTGTCTGTAAAGTCCCAGGTGTTATCTGAGGGCACCCTGGGTGGGGGTGAGTCCTGGCTCCCAGTTACAACAGCTCTCCCCTTAAAAATGCTAGGCTTCTGAGGATGAGCCGGCCTCCTAGAACTGCTTACACCGTAGCAGTGGCTGCCTCATTAGGCGAACCTGTTTAGCCTGACCCCGAAGGCCCTGTGGGATCTATCTGTGCCTCACTCACATACACACACACACATCCCACATGACCACACTCTCCTCTTTTGGTCCCTCACTGTCTCACGCTCTCTCCCTCACTGCCCCCTTCTTCCTGCCTCTGTAGTTGGGCCTGGGGTGTTATTGACCCGTTTGTGGATGGAGTTTCCTCTCCAGGTGTCTGGTTATGAGGCTCATTCTCTAGCACCTGGCCAGACAGGATAAAATTCACCTCGACAAGACACAACACAAAGGGACTAAAGCACGAATGTACTCATGACAATAATAACCCTACTATAAGTGACCACCTGAGAAAAGAGAATTAGGGGCGAGAAAAGAGAGCATAAATGATATCAAAGAGAGTGAAAAAGATAAGCAAGAAAAGAATAAGGAAGAAAAGGAGACTATATATATATATATATATGGAAAACACCACAGAACCAATACATAAACAAACAAACAAAATAAACAAACAAAAAGTAATAATAATAATTTAAAAAAAGAAAAAGAAAAAATACAAACACCAAACCCCCAGCAAAGAGGGTGGGGGCAGAATCTGTAGATGCTGAGCTTATATATAGAAGATAAGGTTAAGAGTTGGATGAATATGGGGAGGATCTCAGTTCAGTATAG